TCTTTTCATTATTTTTTTTTGTAAAGCGCCGGCCCGAATGAACCAGACTTTAAAGTAAGAAAGAGTTGGAATATTTTTTAATTTAAGAAATGTTTTAACATTTCTTTTCATTATTTTTTTTTGTAGGCGCTGGCTTGAACATGAAACTGGACTTTGGAAAGGGAGAAGGTTTTAAATTTAAGAAACAAACTAATGTTTCTTTTTCATTGCTTTTTGGTTCGAAATTTTTTTAAAAATTTGTTTATTTTGTTTTTTTTTTAATTTAATTTTTTTTTTTGTAGGTGTCAGTTTTTTCGGCTTCGGGGCTTGGATCTGATAAGTTTCGATTCAAAATTTTGAAACATTTTTTTAATTTATTTTTTTTAATCTCTTTTTTTTTGTAGGTATTGGTTCTTTCAGTTTAGGACTTGGATATGTCATTCGAAACTTATCTGTAATAATATTTTTAATTTGTTTTTTTTCTATTAAAAAATTTTATATTTTTTTTGTAGGCATCCGGTTAATCATTTTTGCTGCACAAGCATGTGACTCTATCCAATCAAAATAAAGATAATCAAAGGTGGTTTCGTAAAATTTGAAAAGTGACGCTACAAGGTAGATTATGTATTTGCATTCACCAATATCCTGAGGCATTGTTGAATGAACGTCAAAGATATGGGAACTATTTATTTGTAAATAAGATTCAAAATGTTAGTACTTTCAGGAAACACTAATAGCACAAATATTAAAAGTACTTACAAATTGAGAAGAACCTTCTCACAGTATGACTTGAACAACACATTTTCAATATCTGACACATGTTCTAAAACTGCCTGCCTGAAATTATTCCCAGTTTTCTGTAAGTTATATCGATAAAAATTCCGAGAACAATGTTTTCCTTAAGAGTAGTGATTATATATCGTTCCAGGGCAGGCGTCCATACGGAAGGATTGTTATCACGTGAAGTGGACAACTCCCTAGCTAGTTCCTTGCCAATTTCCTTCATCAACTCCTCTGTTGTCATTCCAAATGCGCATATTATTGAGATTTCTTGGGAGTAACTTTACCAGAAAAAAATATACACTATTAGAACATTTCCCTGATATAGAGTAAGTAGAAAATCGGAACTTACTGTTGAAATTCTTCATTTCCCAATGGTCTCTTATTAGGTGTTGAAAGCAAATTCGTTAAATCCCGATGGACTTGGGTTGGAGTCCTTGGTGGTGCAAAGATCCATATGACTCTGGATAAGATTCCGTCCTCGTATCAATAGCTATTGAAGTCTACAGACAATAATAAAATGTGAATATCTAATTCAACAGATTTGGTGCATATACAGTATGTTAACTAACCTTAGCAGCATCATTGAATTCAAGAAAATTTTTCTTGGAATCAAAAATACTGCAACACGTTTGTATAGTTGCAGTACCTGCGCAGGACTGTTAAATCTATAAATATTGTGTTTGTATTATTCAATAATATAATAGCAACAGTACTGTACCTTTAACCATATGAGATAACTTTTACAATAAGATTTAATCGAAAGAAGAATACCAAAGTTCTGATTGATTTGATCTAAGCTCTCAGTGAAAAGTGAGAGAGCATGATCAAAATCAATCATCTCATTCTCAAGATTCTCATGAATATATTTAATGTAATTTTGAATACACCAGGTGGACGCGCTCTGTTTCATAAAGTATTCATGAACACTTGGTGTACCAGGTTTTACCATCTTGGCTGGTTCTGTTGTGTTCTGGTCGAGGTCCTTCTTGAACAACATGACGGGTCCAGCATTTAGCTGGATGGTATCTAATTAGACTTTATACCATGTATATTTTGTCTTTAAATATTATGATTTCCCGATTTCCAAAAAATAAATAAATAAATAAATAAATGTACCTGGTTTTACGAGATATATAAAGTGTGTGGTTGAAAAAAGACGCGGTTCACGTTCTACGATGAAATTCTCTTGTGATTGTGACAAAATTCTTAATAAAATTTTAACGTGAGAATTCAGAAGTGTTTTATTTTTATTTTACTGAAATAAAATCAGTATTTATATTGACAGGCTGGTGCATGATGTAATCAATGTTTATTTGATTATCTGATTATCTGAGGCACGTCAGCTGCAATCTGAGAAATCACGTGGACTTTTTTATGAATTTTGATAACAAATAAAATTATATAACTAAATTTATTGTTAAAATTTTATTTTTATTAAATAATAGATATTATTCAATAGTAATACAACTCTAATAAAATTTAATACATAGTAAATTAAAACAATACTAAAATTATTTGTAAATTTTGAACGTGTATTATTATGTAAAATTTTCCAATCGAAGCTAATTATTAGCATTTAAAAGTTAACTATTAGTAAATGTTGCCTAATAATAATGCGATTCTAATAATGTTCACTATGCTCCTCGAAGAGGTGGTTATCACCTAAAAAGAATTAATATCATTATAAAAATGTAGATACTTCCCGAATTCTGAATAATGTGACTATGTTCAAAGTCATTGAGAACGAAAAAATAACAAAATAAGTCAGAAAGATAAAAGAAAATGTAAAAATAAAGAATTTATAAGAAAAATAGTAAAAAGGTAATAAAAGATTAAAAATGCAAAAAAAAATGAAGAAAATAATTTTATAACTCACAAAAAAAGAATATTTGTAGAAAAATCAGTAACGTTAAATCATATGATGGGATATACAGTACTAGAAAAACGGTAACTATTAAAGTCCGTCATGTTTATTTACTCTAGATCCTTTTTTATTACAACATTAAACAAAAAAAATTGATTACAAATTATCAGTGTTACAAAAAAAAAGGAATATGATTGAAAAGATTTTTAACATATTGTTTAAATTTGAATGTTAAAAATTTCTTCAACGTGCTAATCCTAAAAATGTATGTTATTATGGAAAAACTTTGCAAAATCAAATAGTCTTAATCAAATATTATTTCAATAAATAAGATATTATTTTGTTGATTGTGTGGCATTAATAAATTACTTGATTATATACTTCCTGTTAAATAATTCCCTACACGTTCTTTCCCTCAAGACCAATAGCCGAAACAAATTAACCTTAAATAAAGTTTAAGCAAGTCAAGTAATTATTGTTAAAGAAAACTCAATTTAGCAAAAATATGTGGAAAACTAGAAAGTAATAATGGAGTGTTTTATAAAAATAAGGTAGGAAATAAAATTAAATGAAGGGGGAGAGTGTGAAACTAGACTATATTTAACAATAAAAATACGTGTGAAAGTGAAATCAATAAAATTTTTTAACTAAATGAGATAAGGAATAATATTACTGATTCAATTTTTTCACAAAATAAGGTAAGGAATGACATAAAATTTAGTTAAATATATTTAAAAATGGTTCTAATTGAATTTTTAAAGAATGGAATATGGAATCATTTCAAATTATATGGTTTATAATATATACAGGTGAAGAACATAATGGCGGCTAACTGAATTATTTATTTGTTGATGCTAATGAACTATATTTAATTTGTAGATATTAAATGATGAACATATTGTCTACATGGATATTACGATGGTTTTGCTTTAGTTTTTAGAAGCAAAGGTGGAAGGATGTACGTGCAAAGCATACTATGTATACCACTACTTTCCTTGTAGGCAGTGCAAGCAATCCACATATTATAATAGTAATATTAGCTATTATTGCTGTTATTAATTTAATCATAGTATACAAAATTTATTCGTTAGACGCGTAAAAAGTAATAAATTTCAATAGTTAACGCTGACAAAAAAAAAATATTTTTAATTTGAATTTTTTTAAATGGATCATAATATTCTATACTTGCTGATTCGCCGTAGCACGACTAGCGCGTCCACCAGTAGCTTTATTAAAGTCTGTTTATTGGGTTTATTGGGTCAATTCCATATGACAGATTAGCTCATAAAAGTCAAATGTAAATTCCATGTGATTTTTAAAAAATTTGCCCGCGAAATACTGTATATGAGAAAAATAACTATTCATATTAATCCACAACTTTACAACAAATAAGAATATTTTGCATACTAATTAATATATATAAAAATTTTACCTATCTTTACAAAGTAAAATTGTTCAATTTATGAAAGATAAATATAAACTCTAAACTGAGTTAATTAACCATTTAAAAGTATATATTATAAAATATAGGCTTAATTAAATCTATAATGACAATGAAGTAAATAAGACCCGACCTTTCAAATTTATACATAACTTTTTTATTTAACTATTAAAGTATATGAAATACAACATTTATTTTATCCTACTAACAAATATTTTGTTATTTTATTAACGAAAACTTCTTGCCATTGTAAACTTACTGTAATAAAGTTTTTGATCAGTGAAAATCCAGATAGCGAGAACGTTTGGGTAAAATTTTAAATTAAATTATTGTGTGATCTTATCTTTTTTTTTACAGTAGTACTGTATCAACTTATCATTTTATCGATCACTTACAATTAATTAACCATTTTTAAAAAGACAAAAATTTTCTTTTTTTAAAAAAAAAATAGTAATCGTTTAATGCTAAAGAAAAAAAGGGGGAAATAAAATTATATCATTAGTATTGGTAATCAAGAAAAAAAAGAGGATCGAAAAAAAACACAACCACCTACCGAAGTCTGTCGATATAGTAATATTTATGAAGTTTAAAATTATACGCGAATAATTAAATCAATTAATCAAAAGTCTCATACACACAAATCTCTGAAAATTTTCTTTTCCATTTAATCGAAAAGATACTAGTCCAAACTTGTTAAGTTAAATCATTTAAAAGGTTCAATCCAAATACCCAAATATTTGTACTTTGAAAATAATATTTACAGATTTTCCAACGCAAAATTTTTTTTTCATCGTATCACTAGAATAGATATGCAGAAAAGTGAATGTACAAGTTTTCGCCACCCTTTGTATATAACCATTCCGAAGTAATAAATTGTTCAATTTTTACGTGTGCTAACTGCAATATATTAAAGTATAGTTTTTTTTTTAAAATCAGAGTCGTTTCAAAGTTTTTTATTTAATATATATATAAACATTACAAAATTATACATGACATTTGAAATTTAAAAAACAAATTATTGAATCTATTGATAATAAAATGTAGTTACAAATTTTTGACCATTAAGTTCATTCCTTGCAAATGCAGTAATTTCATTTTGACCGAAAATAAGTCCAAAATCAATGCTTCTATTATCAAGATGAGTATCTAATAATGATTGTTAAAAAATTAAATAAGAAAAAACTTACAAATAATTAACCAATATTACCAATATTGTAAATAAGGTTTTTAAAACTTACCTGGAAGATCAGCGTTTAATACTCCAAGTAATTTCATTCCTGGTTCATCAATGTACATTGCAGAATCTTCATTTGTATAATAAACTTCAAATTTTATGTGTGCCTGGCCTGATTCGGGTTTAAAATTAAAAGAAAAGACCTGATCTGATGTAACTTCAGTGCCTCGTTTGACCAAAGAAATAAATTTAGAAATTTTTCCGTCAGAAGTTTTTCTATTAGGAGGGTCAGTATTTTTCCAATCCGAATTAAATTGAATTCCATAAGTATAATCAAGAACTCTTGAGGAGCTACTATTAGTATTATCTTCTAATTTATCCAAATTTGAACTTATAGATAACCCATAAATTACCGCTCCATGTGCAATTACAGTTGTAGGATTATAAGGGACTGAAATAGTATTCACTTTATGATGAAATTCTTGTTTAATTCTTTCTTGCAAATATTCGTTTTCACTGAATCCTCCAACTAAAAATATTCCTGAACAAGTTTCTTGACTATTTGAAATTTGTATATGTATCAAACGAATAATTCTATCAATCATAAGATCAACCAGTTTTTTTATATCATTATACTCAACAACATTAATAACCCAATCATTTTCTTCCATGATTTTTCTTATTTCTTTACTGACATATTGCTTCAAATATGGATAATCATTAACATTTAAGACATCATGATATTCTATGTTATCATCTGAGAAATATATTATCCTATGGCAGAAACTATTAACCAGTCCTTGAAATTCGTCATATTTAACCTCCATTAATAGGTCAATACCACGATTTCCAAGTTTTTCACGTAAAAATTTTATAAATTCCTCATTGATAAATGTACTTACACAGAAATCTCTGATGTATTCGGTAACTTTACCTAATTGCAATGGATTATTTCCAACCAATTTACAAGTAGACAAATCCACAGTACAACCACCATTGTCAACAATCATGAATGAGTCTGAAAAAAAACAAAGTTAAACCCCAATTAAAATAACTTTTAAACTGGTTAAACAATAACATACTTCTTGTAGTCAACAAATCATGCTCCTCTAATTCATTTTTCATACAATAAAGTGCTGCGGCTTCAGCTATAAATAAATATAAGATAAATAGAATTTCTTCACATTTAACGTGAAATATTGAAAAAGATGTTTAGCCTAAATTTTTTACTTACATTCTGTAATAAATTGCAACTTTTTCGAGCATTTATTTCTTATAAGGTTTGCATCATATACGCACTCTCTCATAATATCTTTGTCTTTTTCTGAAAATCCCATGGGAACAGTAAGAACTAATAATACATTTTCAAAGAAATCAATTCCTAACCAGTGATTTTGGACTTCTTTTTTAATATCCTTAAAATTTCAATCATGCAAGTAAATATGTGGTATGAATTTTAATAATAAAGAATTTTTTCTTGTACCTCACTAATTTTCCTAAAGAAATCTGTAATAGCCTTTTTATATTCAACTGGAAGTTTTGGTTTCAAATTATCTGGTGAATCGCCTAGGTATAATTTGAAAAATTCAATATAATAATCATAATTGTAGTCAAGAACTGTAGGGACTTGCATTTTTAGGTAATCTCTATTATTTGACCATGAATCATATGAATATATATATTCTTCATTAGAAACATGGCAACAAGCAAATCCAGAGTAAGTTGTTCCAAAATCTAACCCAACCACAGCTTGAATATTAGAGTTAAGTTCAAATTTTTCTGTATTTTCTTTTAAACCTGAAAAACGCATAAAATCAATTATGGTATTTAATTCCATATTTAATTGGCAATTAATAAAAAGTTGACAACATACTTTCGGAAAATCCATCACTATTATTATATATGAACGATTCCTTAGAGCTTTTTTGTTCATTATTCATACTTTCGGAAAAATTATCCCTATTATTATATAAGAACGATTTCTTAGAACTTTTTTGTTTATTATTTTCTTTATTTTGGTCAACAGAAGGAAAAGTTGTCGAATCGTTAGAATCATAATTTTGTTGTTCATTATTTTCTTCAACTTTAATATCATTCTCCTTAGTTTCATCCAATTCTGATAATCCCAGTTCATTTTGGAAATCTTGAGAAATCATTTCAAGTTCTTGTAATTGTAATAACTCTTCATTTCTTTGTTTTTCTAAATTTTGAACATGCTGTTGAAGTTTTTCAAATTCTTCATCTCTCTCTTGAAGTTTTTCAATTTGCTTATCCTTTTCTTGGAGTTTCTCTTTTAAAACTTGAATTTCTTGTTTAAGATTTTTATTTTCTTCCACTAAATTAGCACATTCATCTTTTGCTTTTTTAAAATCTGTCTTAAGTTTTAAAATTGTACCAGCAATTCCTGATGCCATTGATGTCGTTGTCCTCAAATTTTTTTTCTTTTCTTTTTTTTTGCGTATAGGGCGTAATGGCGCAACGCTCGACTGTGTACAGCTGATCAGTGATACATATACAATTATTGCATACGTTACACACGGCTTATTTTTTGCCGAAAACTCGGCTGACAATTTATAAAATTAAATGTATGTACGGCCAGATAATATTTTACGCATGTGATTTTCATGATTTTCACCACAAAAATTTCAGAAATTTTTGACAAAATAAAAAATTTTTTTTTTTATAATAAACAAAAAATATATAACTTACAAAATTCCAAATTTCATACTTATTTTGAGTTATATAAAACGTAATAAATCTCATTATAACGACAATTAGAAAAAATTTATTAATGGCCCGTTATAACGAGCGGTACATTAATCATATTCATCATAGATTTTTATTCAATTTGATTAATTATTTTTCTTTTTTCCTTTTTTTTTTTTGAAAAAATGCAAAAAAAATATCATAATATGATTTCGCAAAACAAATTTAAAAATTTATATACCTCTGAATAATTTTATTATAATTGGTATAGACCAACGATGAACACCGATGAATAATAACTCATATCTTTTATTATTTCACATCTGTTACAAATATTCCAGAGTAAATTTATCTTGATTATTTCTTGCACAAGTGAATAACGAGTAATTCCGATCTCATTCTGATCATCAAAACACGCATGGAGACTTTTACCTTAAACAATCAATGTACCTTTTCTTTTAATGATGCAGAAATATTACAGATTCTACATACTAAGGTTATTCTATCAACATTAGTAATTGTATTTTCTAATGATGCTTCGTATTCAAAAAAAAAGTAATGCTAAATTTGTCAATAAATATTAAAGAAATATTTTATCCTATATTGTAAGAAAAACAAAAATTTAACTGTTTATCGTATTTAATAATTTTAGATTTAACGACTAAGTTCTAGAATACTCTCGCACTTAGATCTTGGACGTTCAACTTAACTAGGAAACTTAACAGTAGAGCATCGTCCATTTAGAGTTTCTTGAATTAATTTTCTTATTTGAGCTAAATAAATTTCAATAGTTTTTGTATAATATAATAATTGAGGCGGTAACTAAGGTAATTATTTCTTTCTTAAATTTGATATATATAACTTAAATAATTCAACTAGGCGTGGACGTTGTTCTTCTGTATCATCTGATACTTCACCAGATTCTTCCTCTGAAACTTAATTCTCCAAATGGTGATTTTTTTATGCCCTTCATCATATTGAAGTGCTATAGATGCTTTTGAGACACCTTCTTGTCCTGGCCTAATTACTGTATCATCAAAGAGTTGAATTTCATAAGAATTTTATTTTAGTTAATAATTGATTACGCCAATTAATATTTCCAGTTTTAAATTTGTAACGTCTGAGATGACGTTAAACTATTGGTTAATATGTTCTACAGGGCAGTTGATCGTGAGAATTTGATTTGATAGTATAATGTCATTTGTTTTTAATTGCTGGTAATTTTTCTATCAAAATTTGACTTTCTTTTCCATTTTACTTTGTTTTCTTGAAAATTTTGTTTCCATTGTTCTTGATTTCCTCATAAAATGTCAAAAAGTTGGGTTTACAATCTATTATTAAGAAACTATATTTACCATTTTCTATTAAGACTTTTTAAACCTTTAATATGAGATATTTTTTCTTATAACTTTTCTTATATTTTGTTCTATTATTAAAGATATTATTCAATTTCAGTAAATATTAATATGTTATTGTACGGGCGTGCTTAATAATGATCTGATGTGACGCTTCGCGTCACATACCCACCCGTACAATAACATACAATCATACAAAGTTTATTACTTGTAATTTCTAGTAACTTAATATCAAAATTTTCATTATTTATTGAAATTAATTTATTGACATAATTGTTATAATTCATGTGTTGACAAGTATATCGTTCAAGGAAGAAACATCATTAGATATTTTGTTATAGGGATTAAGAGTACAAAGCTTTAATAATAAAAGAGTGAAAGAAGTATTACACAAACTTGGATGTAACAATCATAATTTGTTCATGATACAGCTGATACAGCCATAATAAGATTTTTAATACTGTGCATATTTAGTAATTTTTTATTTTCTTTCATAAAATACTATATTAACATAATGAATATTCTTTATTTTCAATTTTATACTCAATATTTAAACGATATTTTATTTTTATTCTTTTTTATATTCTTGAGCATAAATATTAACTTAATTTACTTATTAATTAGGATTTAATTCAGAAATGCAACGGAAGATTGTTTCTGAACTTTTATTTCAAATTTGATTTAATTTTGCAAACTCTTGTTGCTTTTCATCAATAAAATAATATAAACTATAATAAAAAAAAATTTAAAGTTATAAACAGTTATGCAATAATCTATTTAATTTAAAATTTTGGAAAATGACTCGTGAATCGTGATACGTGCCTGTACTGACGTACATTTGCCACCAGTCATTGAACATTGTTTTCTTTAATCATATAATAAATTAATACAAAATAACTAAACTTATCCCGAGTTCTATGCTTGGTTCCTAAATATAAAATATACTAATGATAATATCAATAAAATAGAAGAATAAAATAACAAAATACTTCCTTCGTCCAAAAATTCATTTCTCATTATACTTTCTTAATTTATAATTCTGAACTTTGATAATTTCCCATACTTAATATTATTCTCGTATTTCAACTTTCATAATTCATTAATAAAACTTCAAAATCCTAATTATCATATCAAATTGTTATAATTCTCCCTACTTATCATTGTATTTCATAAATAAAATAATATAAAACGATAAAATAATTATTAAAAATTCACAATTTTTCAACTTACTAACATTTATTGATTATTTCCCATAAGTTATTAAAATATTACGCCTTTTCTAATTCCAAAAGTTACTCTTTTTATGTATTTTCAAATTCCCATGTAGTTCCATATCCAATATTACTCTTTTTGGACATTACGTATGCTTATTAATTTGATTACGAATTTTCTCATTTCTTTGTAAATTTTGTCTTGTAAATTTTTCACAAAGTTCAAATTTTCCCAAAATTAACTTCTTATTGTAATTTCTTATCATCATTATGTCACAGCCAACAAGTCACCAAATAATGTTACCCTTTTTATAAATTGTCACAAAATAAATTGCTTAGTAATGTAAAAAATCTTAATGTCATACTAATAAGAGTTTGTTTAGCAGGATTGAAAATAGTTTGTTTATTGATATTAGTAAATTTTGAAATTTTCATTTGACCTATACTGTATATATATTGTTTGGGTCTTTTTACAGTACTAATTCAATAATAGTGATAATTAGTTTTACTAATATTATACATTATTTTTTTTTCAAATCTTATTGGAATTTGGTTGTTTTGATTATTATTGTTTAGAATAATAAAAAATTTGAGTTTTTCAAAAAATTAATTAAATTAAAAATCAATTATCATTAAAAAAGAAGATAAGTCCAGTATCTATTGATTCAATTCAGTATACTTATATATGGATTTCCAATTGATTTTAAGAAGAAAAAATTTAATTGCTTTCTTTTATAAAAAAAAAAGTATTAGCATTAGTAATCAAAAATCAGAAATTCATAACCTCTATTATTATTTCTTATCCCACAATTTTTGACAAAAAAAAAAAAAATATAAATATAAATACCAGTTGATCGTAAGCATGAAAGAATTTATCTCTAATTGGATCACCATATACAAACTATAATTGGCTGATGATCACATGATTTTAGTTCAAAATGAATCATTTGCATAATTTTATTAGCAGCAGAAGTTAAACATAATTATTATAATAATATATAATGTTTTTATTTGAACTTTGAAAGTTATGACAAAAAAAATGGTATAATATTTTACATTATATACTATGACTTAATGTTAAAACTTAATCTATAAAAACAACCTTCACAAACTAAAAGATCTTTGAGATCTCCTCTCACAAAACAATAAAATAACAATAGGAGAAGGTCTTGAAAATTTGTATAGCAAAACAGGTTATTCTTTCCTAAACATAAAACTATTAACTTTCTATCCCATTATATATTGGTTTTATATGCTCTATAGCCAAATAGCTTCAAATACTGGATTCTACTGGATCCTACAATGAAAATGAAAGTAAAACATGCTAATGAAAGAATATGTAAAGTTTTGTCAATACTTACTTAGTAAAAAACTTATGTTACCATATAACTGATCATTTTTAATATATATTGTACTGTAAATTTAATATAAATAATTGTGTAACAATAAGGGTCAAATAGAATTTCGCTCATGCTTTGATTGTATGGGTGAATAACCCCACTCACCCCAAAAATAAATTTTTGAAAATAATTTTATAATTAAGCAATTATGATTTTACTGATTAGTAATGATTTTACTGATTAGTGACAAAATAATTAGTATAAATTAGTATAATGTAGACAAAATTTGCTGATCACTAATTAAATTTACAGAAATTAACCATTAGGAAACATGATCTTATATTTGTAAAAAGAAGGTGGCTGAAATACACAGTGAAATTTGATAAACTGGATTTGTCAGTTCCATCAAAAATATCTGGTTTATCAGGATATCCGGCATATTGAAAAAATTTTGATATATTGAAAATCATTATACTGAATTTTTTTAAAAATTCATGCTAATAAAACTAATATGCACTATATTTTAATTTTTCATCCTAGTTTAAATCACAGAAGCCATGAAAATGAATATAAAATGTTTTAATATATAACTTTGGCCGGAATTAAGATTTTTATAATTCCGGCCAAAATTAAGATTTATCGCATCACATTACTTAAATTTTATTGGTTAATTATCACGTGATCCAGTTTATCAATTATTTTTACTATAGCTAGTTAGAAAATTGATCCATTATAGTAAACTCTGATATATCAAACTATTTTAATATATGTGATTTAGTTCTAGCAAAAAAGTCCGGTTTAGACCCAAATCCAATTTATCAAAGATCTGGTTTATTAAATTTTACTGTGTATAACACTATAATCACACATTTTAATTGGAGTGCTTTTTTTTTTTATCACTTTATATTTATTTCAAAACTTTTTAATAGTCAATTATAAATTAAATTTTTTTTGTTTTGAAGTGCTATAATTTATATTTATTTAAAAATAATACAATAAAAATAATAAAATAAGCAAACTAACTAATTTTATATAAAAATGGATGATAATCATTTCATTAGTACTTAATAGGTACTTAATAATTACCTAAAATAAAATGATTAACCAATTATTGCGATTTTGTAATAATTGATTTACATTCCAGTTTGGCAATGATGCAATGCTTGTACTTGTGATTGATGCTTTTGCAACGTAATGTATTTTGCATAAATATTATTACTATATTTACTCATACTAATAAAGGTATTTAAAAGGCATTTAATAATAATAATAATAATAATAAAGATATTTATCTTTTCAATTAGGGAGAGTTTTGATATAGCAATGGACCAATATGTTGGTAAAGGTAAAGCATGTAACATGAATAATAATATAAATTAAAATTATTCAAAATTATTAAAACAAACTTGCAATATAATAAAACTAGCTTTGTGTGATACCAAAGAACCTGAAAGTAAATATAACATACAAAACAAAATTGAAATATTAAAATTTTTATATATAAATAATCAAATATAATTAAACTAAATTTCAAATATAACAAAACTAGTTTCCAGTAATATTGAAGAATTTGAAGAAAGTGGCACTGAAGAATTTGAAATTAGTAGTATTGAGACATTTGAAGAAAGTAACACCACGAAATCTAAAGGTGTATTAAGCTGAAATATTAAATTTTTATTTATAAATAATTCAAATACTATCTAGATTAACTATAATGAATTACTCATTATTTTTATTGTATTCCATATAATTAAATAATTTATTCAATAATTTGTAGTTGGTAAGTTATCAGTTATTTAAATCTTTAGTTCTTTACTTTATTTATTTTATATAACATTCAAATAACTAAATTCTTTATTTATATAACTATTTAATAATTGATTATATTACAGATAGTAAGTTATAATATATATATTATATTTATTTGTTTAATATATTTTACATAATTTAACTAATTATATTCTTACTTTAAATAACTAGATTGTAAGTAATATATATAATTTACAGTAAATACTTTTATATTATCTTTATATCTACTAATTAATAATTAATAATACTATAGGGTGTAAGTTATATGATATCTATATTTATATTATTTATATAATTTAAACTAATTAATTTCTTTATTTAAAAAAATATTTTATAGATGGTAAGTTATTTAATTAATTCTATTATTACTTATTGTTATAATATTTACATATAATTTAAACTAGTATTTTCTATTTTTAAACATTTTATTTTTTTTTTTAAATAATTGATTATTATTAACTTTTTTGTTGCTTTAATTAGTTTGACTCTCAATTAATCGACTTGGAAGTTTCTAATTCAATACGATTAAGAGGTACATTAAACATAATTTACCACCTATTTTTATACATTTAAAATATACAAAAATCATCTGAAAAATATTTTCTGAAATCTAAAGTTGGGCCAATACGTTAAACGAAGATTTTTGCCAAATAAATCATAAAAAAGTTATTATATTTGTTTTACATAATAAATCTTGGCCAAGTTTTTATGGGAATTATCAATACTGACCATAATTATTTTTGCAATAAATTCTAATTCACTAATTGATTTTGCATATTTCTGTAAATTAATCTAAAAACACTATTACTTAAACAAGTATTGCAACTACTAAGAATTTAATATCTGAAAAGTATCTTTCAAAATCAGGAATAAGTTGTATTTTGATTCCAAATTGTTGAGATGTTAATTTTGTATTTTTATTAATAAAAAGATTGTACAGTATATCTCACTTTTAATTTTAAAATCTTTATTAATAGGATAAATTATCAATTTTATTTAAATTAGTATATAATTTGACCGACACTGATTGCAAAGAATCAGAGTTCTTAATTGTTGAAAATACAATATGCCTAAATATACCCATAACAAAAATGTCTAATTTTGTAATTTCAGCTCTCATTTGAAATTTGCAATTTTAAAAGATTATCCTCATGATTTTTTTAATTAGAGATAGTCAGAAAGCCAAGAATTTGTTTGGTACTTTTAAAAGTTTGAAATTATAATAAAACTGTACCAATAATTGCATTTCGACTCCAGATCATGAGTACTAATATAAAGTTGCTCCGCCGATCCATCTCTAGCGAATTAACTTTTTATGGTTCTTTAAGAAAATTCCAAGCAAGATTTTTCTATAATGTTGGAACAACAATTATGCACAAAATTCTATTAGCATAAAGTACCTTTTTATTATAATTTATTTTTTTAATTTTAAATAAAGAATAACTTGATAAAATAAGAAAAAAAGCGCAAAATGTTAAATATAAGGTGCAAGTTACTAAAGTTTACTACAAATTTGAAGTACAAGGCGTTCAACATTGTGACGTTTCATCATGTTAGCCAAAATTATACTAATTATCATTTACCCAAAGTACGTAATTTATTTGTCATTAATGAAAGTATATAACGTAATAAATTAAAATAAGTATTAGTTAGTTTTAAAGTTTCAATGTTTTTCACACAAATAAGAATTTGATTATTAAATCTCTAAGATAATCTATATTTACGTAGTTAATTTAAAAAATTAATCTAATAATCAGAAGTAAAACCCCTCCCATCTTTAAAATCCAATTCCAAAGTCATCGGATGTCTACCTTTTCAATTATCAAAAAATAACTTGAAAGATTTCGGTTTAGATAAATTCCAAATTCTAAACTTAAATAAACTAGTTTTATAATTAATTTTACGGGCTTTGTAATTAATAAAATAAAAGTAAAAAAAAAAACAGTATACAATAACTTTCCTGACCAAAAAAAATATTTTACAAACTTGCATCATGAGTATATATATATGGTATTGGCAGGAACTGTACAAAATTAACAAAGAATGTAAGCGTTAAAAAGATTCAAATAAATCTAAATAAAGGTTTAAAAACTAAATAAAAACCATATATGTGTATAACTTGATTGTAGTAAAAATTGTTTAAAAATTTTTCATCCAATATTTGAATTAATAGGAAATTTGCTATCAGAATCTTGCGTTTCTACATTAAAAAGTCAAAGACGTGAAACTCTAACGACTTCAAACTTCGCAAGTGGCTTGACTATCTTTAAATTTTGTACGTCATACCACGTGATGAGACGACAATTGTAACGAAGGACTATATAAGATCACTTTTTATTAGAAAGTGAGTATTTCTTAATAAAATAAAAATTAAAAAAAAAATTTATTCAAGTTTAATGATCGTAAATATCCATAAAGTATTCAATAGTCAAGAATTATTCAAAATTATTATTTTATTTTTTGGTTTTTTTCCAATATTATATTTATTGAATTATCTTAAAAGGAGTATGTCAAATTCTTGATAGAAACTGAGACGGATTTGCGTAATCACATGTCAGCCGAACAGTGATGCACGTTTCGGCCATACTGCGCCTTATGTACCTTATTAGAAGTTACGTAATATAATATAATGTAACGTAACACATATTTATTCCATATAAAAAAAAATTTTTTTAAAAAATTAGGTTTATTATTTACCCTTATATCCATTATCTACAACTAAATTAAAAATTATGGCGTCAAGTCAACCATCTTTAAAACGAAGAAGTAGAAAACAAGATCAAGAATTTATTAGAAACCAAAGTAAAAATGAATATTCTTTAAATACAGTTAGTGATAATAACTGGCAATTATTTATGTGGTTCGCTTCCTTGGAAACAGTTGAGAATTATATTTGTTTATTTATTCTTGTTTGGGATACTATTCCAGTACGAAATAGTGCACAATATTCAAAACAATTAAAGGAAGAAACTGATAATTTAATTCAAATTATCAAGGAGTTAAATTTTTCAAAAGAAAACGATAAGAATTATTCCAAAATGTTAGATGATTACAAAGATTTTCGTTTTATAAGTGATCAAAATTTTAGACAAAATTTAGTTCATAATGTTTGGACGGAATTGGAGAACCATGGATTAAAGAATAATTCTTATGCTGTTTCGGACCAATTAAGCCGTTGTTCATTATTCCAAAAAAAAGAGTTAAGAGCGATGATTTTATCTAGGATAAAATCCTTTCAATCATTTTCAAGAAAAATAAAAGAAGCAATAGAATTACAACAAGCACCCCTTAATAATAAGATGAAAGATGAAAATCAAGAAATAATTTTAAGTGAAAATAAAAGTTTGGAAAATCAAATAGTCGGTTTAGTCGATAATAATTTACAAATTGGTAATTCAACAATTCTTGAAGATGAGTTACAAGGTACTCGAGATACTCAAGAACTCATGAAAAGAGAAAATGAGAATTTAAAAGTTCAAGTAAAAGAATTAATAAAAGAAAATTCGAAACAACAGGCAGCCCTTGATAATGTATCTTGGGATGATGATGAGTCACATAATTCAAAAAAATTAATTCAAGACATTACAGATTTACAAGATATGCTCAAAAATTTCACAATGGTTCAAGGAAGTGATTATAAGATAATTAACGGTGAGGCAAATGCTCTTTTTAAGTCTTTTAAATGCGAAGTAAATTGTCCTAGTTTGCGAGCAAGCCTTGTTTTAGGGTTTTTACTTCAAAGGACTGTAATTGTCAAAATTATAGTAGAAGCTGAAAAATATTTAAATGGCATGTTTGAAGGAAGTCGAGATGCGGCTCTTGAGAGAGATATTACAAATGCCACCGAAACCTTAATTAATCAGATAATATTATTTGAAAAGAATCGGAAGGGAGAAGATGATATCACTAAGATTACACCAACAAAAATTCGTCAGCAGGTTTATTCAGCTCTTAGTTGTCGTGGCTTTCCAAGTGATCACTCTTTAATCACAACCACAGCAAGTAAATTGTTGCATAAGATGAATAGAGTTAGACAAATTGTAGATGAAGAAATTAAAAGTGAAATGGATGATTTGGCTATTCAAATAACTCATAAAGTTATTAATATTTTTTATTTTAGTTTTAAAACACAAGCTTCTGTACCAACCTATAAATTTTTCGAAGCTGGTCAAGCCTTGGAACCGCATCTCATGCAAGGAGCTTTTGGAAATGATGAATCTGAAAAATCGGAAGTGGAAGTTTGCGGATTTCCTTGCATCGGCATATTTACTGGTGATAAATTGAGTGATAAAATTTTTATAAAAGCGCAAATTATTCCAAGATCGAAGCGTTTATAATTATCGTCATCATAGGAAGTAAAATTTTCGATAACCATAATTGCAATTAAAGGGGGTTATGGAATGAACCTGAAACAGAAGTAGTAATATTTATAGATTTTCTAAGCAAGTTTCACATATATAATTATTTTGAGAAATCGCTTATCATTAGTAAATACTGTATTTTATTATTTTGTAAATATTATATTTATTTATAAATTATTGATTTTTTTCTTTATATATATGAAATAAAAAAAAATTAGCGAAATGTAAAGTAGATTGTTGATCTTCAAATATATAAATAGATGTAAAATATCATCGTCTTTTTCATCATGTAAATCAATTAATAACTTAAGAAATGCTAAAATGTACCAAATTTAGATCCGAAGTTGAATATTGTAGTGATGAATGTCGCATAAAAGCTTAAGTACAAAATTTTACAACACCTTGTATACAATGTAACGATTTTCTAGACTTAAGTTGAGTCAATATTGTCGTTGGGTAAGACGTAGAAATGCAGCAAAGTATATAAAGTGCAAGGTATTTAAAAATATGTATATTTTTTTTCTCATTAAATATCGAATTTGATTCAGCATAATTAATATTTTGAACGATTTTAGAAAGATTTCGTTACAATGCTAAATGAATTCTTTATGGTGGTCTAAACAATGTCAGGAATCACACAAAATTGGATGAATTATGTTTAAAGTTGTACAAAAAAGATGGCTTATTCTAGAAAATATTTTGTGAAGATTGCGAAGAATGGGTAAATGAAAATGGTATGATTTTTTTTTGAATTGTCCCTTTTATGATCACTTGGTCAATTAATTATTCATTAATTAAAAACTGTATATATCATAATCAGTTTAAAAGTATTTCTAATCAATATATATCTTCTTGGAAATGCAAAAATAAACATACTGTATATAAAATATTTTCTGAAAAACAAATTATATCACACTATAATAATTATCGAGATTATATTGAGAATCAAGTCCAAATACTTTTTTAAAATAATTCATACATTGTATATATGTGTATTATATATATGTGTACATTATACATTTAAATTTAATTTATAGTACCTTAGTGATATAAAATTTAAGGTGTGAACACTAATTCTTATACTACTGCTTTAGATCTCATGAATTTCAGATTTCTTTCATAACTAAAACGTTTGTCAAACCAATTATAAATACTATTCTAATCGAAAACTTATTTATATAAAAATTATCTTATGTCCGAATATGAAATAAAAATTATTTATATACAGTAGTAAAATTTAAAATCAAAAGTATCCATATGTTCTTGTCTATTGGCAATAATTTCATATTGACCAAAGGTTAGTCCGAAATTAATACTTCTACTATATATCTAAGAAAATTCATCGGGATATATCAATTATCGGTATATAAACTATGAGGTTAGACTGTAAGCATTAATTATTTTCATCATTAATTTATTCTAATTTGATTAATCATTTTTTTTTTTTTTTTGAAAAAAATGAAAAGTATGTTCCCAAATAAATTTTAAAATACATAACAAATTTATAAATCTATACACTTCTTTTTTTATCGTTGATATATACCAACGATTTCGAGAATGAACACAGATGAAGAATAACCCATATCTTTTTTACTAATCTACATCTGACCATCAGAACACGTAAAAAAAAGTATAGAGAATTGTGCACAAATAATCGATGTACCATTTCTTTCAATTATGCAGAAATACTGCACACTAATAAAAAATGTGGGATTGTCGCCTTATAAAATTCTGGAATTAATAGTCCTAAAAAGTGACGTATATAAATTTTGTGATGGGCGGTTTTAATTAAACGCCATCAACGTTAGTAATTGTATTTTTCTAATGATGCGTCGTAAATAGTTAATTAATTTATATATTTTTTTTTTGACAAAACATATATTACTGTAGGATAAAATATGTCTCTTAATTTTTTTTGATAAGGTTCTAGAATATTCTCATGCTTAGAATTTGAACGTTCGACTTACAATTGTTTGAAGGTTGTGTAAAATGTGATTCATTAAAAACTCGCCAAGGAATCATTATATACAATTTGGTAGTGAAATTACCTACTCATCATAAATTCAAAAATAAAATTAATTATCCGAAAATAAATGAAAAAAGAATTATTATTTTGGTTTTGACTTAAAGTTCAGAACTAATTACTGATTAAAATGAGTTTATATTGATATTTGTTAATTTCTTTTAATACATGAGAATTCAATAATGGGTCGATATGTTAAATTTATAAAAAACGAAATTTCTTGGCAATAGAACCTAACCATTGGTAACTGGTAAGCTATAATCTTTTAAAATCCAAACCATCATCATTAAGTAGTTCTTTCGTTAAAATCTTAGCAAATAAATAGAACAATAATTTAGAATATTAAATCATATGAACGTAAAATATTCTTATATTCATTATTATTTTACCAACTTCAATGATAAATAAATATTATCAGTATTCTTTGTTTAGTAATCCAGTGAGTTTTGACAAAACATTTAGTAAATTTTAATATTACACGTTTTTGGATTCTTTTTTTTTAAAAAAAATCTATTGATCTTGATTTTTATTATTTAATATTTTGTATTTATGTATAAATATGTTATTATTTTTAATTTTTTTTTCTTTCTATTTGTAACTAATTATAGACTAATAATAATAAAAAAATTATTAAACATATTAAATATTTATTGCTATTATACCCAAATCTTTCAAAAACAAAATCTTATTTACGCCAGTTCATGTACAGCGACATAGATTAGTTGGTAAAGGTAAGTGATGAAAAGTAAGAAGAGAAGAAAAAGGTAAGGGTAAGTAAATGAAGAGTAAAAGATAAAAAAAAAGGGTCTTTATCTATTATAAAATTACTTTGTATATATAATGTAATGAGTAAACCATTATAATATTTAATTAATGGTTAAAGTTCAAGGGTTACAAGTTCTATATTCACTTAATAAAATGGATTAGTTATACTGTTTGTTATAGGTAATCACGAGTTGTGGGCTATTGAAATTTTATAATTAATAATTGATTTTTTTTCAAAAATCAAAAAATAAGATTATAATGTGCAAAATTTAATTTTAGACATTTTTAATATTTCTGACATTTCTAAATATGGTATGAAACATTTGATAAAGATTTGCAACAAAAATATGCATGTTGAAATTGTTGAATGGTTGCAAAAGGAAAATGCAGATGCTTTATTATTATAAAATCATAATTATTTAGGATTAACTTTTTTTTAAACTAATTTCATTTTTCATATAAAAGTAGTATATTTTTAATCAGTACTATATATTTTCTTGTAAAATCAAAAATCATCATCTATTGGATAGTAAAATTTAGTTACAAATTTTTGTCCATTAAGTTTATTTCTCGCAAATACAGTTATTTCTTTTGAATTGAAGGTTAATCCAAAATCAATGCTTCTATCATCAAGATGCACATCTAATGAAAAATATATATATTAATCGTATTAGTTATTTATGACATTCCCAAAAATTATAATAAAAATAATTTACCTGGAAGGTCGACATTTAATACTCCAAGTAGTTTCTCTGATTCATCAATTTGAGATTTGTCTTTGTCTGTATAATGAACACTAAATTTTACATGAGATTGACCTGGTTCAGGTTTATAGTTAGAAGAATAAGTCTGACCAAATGTAATTTCAGTGTCTTTGTTAACCAAAGAAATTTTACTATTTAGTTCGACATCTTTTGTCCAATTCGAGATAACATGAATTACATAAGTATATTTAAGTACTTTTGTAAAACTATTACTAATATTATTTTCATTATTTTTTAATTTACGTAATCCATAAATTACTGCTCCATCTGCGATTGCACACATAGGTTGATCAGGAATTGAAATAATTTGTACCATATTATGAAATTCTTTTTTAATCCTATTTTGTAAATAAATATTTCTACTGAATCCTCCAACTAAGAACATTGCTGAGCAAGTTTTTTGATTGTTTGAAAGTTGTATATGTATCAAACGGATAATTCTATTAATTATATTATCAAACATTTTTTTCAGGTCATTGTATTTAATGGTAATGTACCAGCTATTTTTTTCCATGATTTCTCTTGTTTCTTTAGTGACATATTGTAAAAGACATGGCGCAAACGAATAGATATTTAGCCTACTATCTATCATATTTTCTCCAGTAAAAGATTCTTTCGTCATATTCCAGCATGATTTAATCAAATTACGAAATTCATTATTTTTAGCTTCTATTAATAGATTTATGGCACGAGTTCCAAGTTTTTCACGTAAAAATTTAACAAATTCTTCATCAATAAATTTACTTCCACAGAAATCTCTAATACGTCCAGTCAATTGAAGCTGATTATCTTTAATCAAATTGAAAGTAGATAAATCTACAGTAAAACCACCGCAGTCAACAATCATGAATGAACCTAAAAATTTATGTATAAAAATATATATGTGTTGAAGTAATTTTTTTTTTAAAAAAAAAATTGTTTAAGTGATCAAACCTACTTACTTTCTGCAGTTAACAAATTACTTTCCTGTAATTCATTTTTCATACAATAAATTGCCGCAGCCTCAGCTGTAAATATAAATACACAAAAAGTAAATAATTTAATTTCATTATTAAAGAGAAATTCTGAATTTTATACCTACATTCTGTAACAAATTGTAGATTTTGTGAGATTTCATTTTGAATAAGATTTGCATCAAATAAACATTTCTTCATAATTTCTTTGTCTTTTTCTGTATACTCATCAGGAATAGTAACAACTAATAGTGCATTTTCAGGTAATTTGGTTCCCACCCAGCGGTATGCAACTTCTTGTTTGATATACTGAATAAATTTTCATTCATGTAAGTAAATAATTTTAATAAAAAGATTTACATTTAGACTCACCATTCCTAATTCCCTTAAGTAATCTGAAATAATCTTTTCATAATTAAATGGAAGTTTTGGTTTTAAATTATCTGGTGAGTCGCCTAGGTATGATTTGAAGAGTTCAACAACTCTGTTTCGTCCGTTGTTGAAATATGGTAATCTAACCCATTTAAGACTTTCATCATAACAAAAAGCTGTATTGATCTTCATTTTCTGGTTTAATCCAGAATATGAAAAATATTCTGACCATGAATCATAATAACACATATTTTCTTCATTAGAAACACTACAAGAAGAGAATCCAGAAGAAATTGTTCCAAAGTCTAATCCAACTACAACTTGAATATTAGTATTATTGTAAAGTTCAGATTTTGCATAATCTGAAAAATATATAAAAAATTAATCATATTATTAAATTTAGCCAAATTGTTAAACTTCAAAATTCTTACTGTATACACATACCTTTATTTGAAGAACTTAAGTATTCAGAGGAATTTTCAATATCTTCAATACTTTCTTTTACATCACCTAAAGTTAATAATATAATTAAATTTAACCAAATTATTAAACTTCAAAATTCTTAATTACGTACCTTCATTTGAAGTTCTTGAAAAGTTTTCAAAGTAATTTTCGGTATCTTCAGTATCTTCAATACTTTCAATATTTGGAAAGACATCAATGTAAGATTCAGATTCTGAAGGATCTAAAAATAATATATTCAAATTATTAATTATTTAATTATTTATCAAATAATATAATTTCAAAAATTTCATTACTTACTTTCATTTAATAAATTTTCAGATAATATTTCAGTATCTTCAAAATTATCACTAATTAATGGACTATCGAAGTTATGATTCTCAAAATGATCAAAAAAATTTACAATATCTTCGTAATTTTCTTTATTTTGTACCATTTTATTTTGTTGTTCTAAATTTTGAACTTTTTGTTGAATTTTTTCAATTTGATCTTTTACTTCTCTTACTTCTAAAATTTGAACACGTTCTTGAAGTCTTTCAATTTGATCTTTTACTTCTCTTACTTCTAAAATTAGAACACGTTCTTGAAGTCTTACAATTTGGTCTTTTAAATTTAAGTGAAGATTTTGATTAAGTTGAAGATCTTGTTTTTTAAAATTGTCAAGATTCTCATTATATTTGGATAGGTTATCATTTAATTTGGATAAGTTATCATTTAATTTGGGTAAATTATCATTAAATTTTCTAATAATTTCGAGTTTGTTAAATTCGTCAAGAACAATATTATCAGCCATATTTTTTATAATATGATAAAATTTTTTGAAAAAGATTTTTGAAAGTAAAATAAAATTTTTGAAAGTAAAGTAATCTCTATACAATGTCAGTATATCTTTTTATAATTTTTAATCTATACATGTCATAATGATGTATCTTATCTTTGCTTATATATATCATTATTATCAGGTAATAATTCAGTATGTGACACCTTTCATATGTGATGACTCATGTTAAGTTATGATTATCTCAAATATATCGCATCCATGATTAGTTTAATAATAACACATGATGTATGCATGAAATTCATCAATTCCCGTTGTATTACCCTGATTCATTTTAAAAATTAATATAGTTCACTTTATTTTTTTTTAAATTAACATTTATGGTTACACCACGTGCCCCAAGAGGAACGCTTAAAGCGAGGCCTTAGGCACGTAGTGACCATACTCCCAGCCCGACGACACAGTAGTGTGTACCATCATCAAGTAATATCATGAATTATACATGTTTTGTTGTACTTTGAATATATTTAACTGTCCAAATTTCTTCCACTTTACTTTCAGGTAGTAAGCAATAGCACACATTAGTGTAAATTTTTTACATATCTATATTTTAGTAATGAGGAGAAGAGTGTATATATTATAAGAGTCACATATACGTATTAAAAGAAGAGATAGAAATTATAAAAAACATTACTGTTCTACATATTATCAAATATTTCTTGTTGAATATCATGTAAATCGATAACATCATTATTCGTAATGGGGTATGGTGGAAGTGGTGGATTTTGACGAGGACAGCCTCTGTACATACAACGTGGTGAAATATTCAAAGTACACATTCCCGGACTAGAGCATCCGTTATATGGTTGATTTCCTCCATCAATAGTTCCAAATTAAACCTAAAAAATGAATACATAAAATGATATAATAATTGAACCAAACAGGAATCATCATCTGTCATAAATATATTAATTCTTACTGTTTGAACTGGTAGGTAATCTCCACGTGCATTTTGAGGGCTTCTTCTATGACAGAATTTATAGCACTGTCAGAATACACAGGATAATTATTAGGCGAATGAAATAAATGAAATGACATCAAAAAATAATACTGAACTGTTAAACAGCGTAAAGGAATTCCATTTTGATCCCTTCTTGAATTCCAATTCCACAGTTTTAATATAATGACATCTTCTACACGGTTTGGAGCCAACCAGAATTGAGTGGTCTTACGGATTATGCTTGGGAGACTTTGTGTATTAGCGATTTCAACAATGACAGTTGGCCAAGGATTACCCTATAAACCATTATAAATTAGGATTGATCTTTGTATATTCAATAAAATAATTCAAGAAACAATACCTGAGCATCACACGAGTTTGCAGCCGGTTTAGGAAGTTGTTTTGGTGTATATGAAGCATCCGATTGTTTACTAAATAAATCCCCTGGATCTACATCCTGGAGTAGAAGAACAAGCTGAATACAACAGAGTTAGATTTAATATAAAAATATATCTTCACAAACGAAACACTGAATTACAGTACATACTTGTTGATCCAGTATTACTAACTTGGTTTTGACGTGGTACATTTGATAAAGCATTTAAAAATTGTCTAGTAAATTCACCATGAGCAACCTCGTGATCACGATTTGGCAACTCGACTATGACCACAGTTCCATCTCGATATTCCCAGAATTTTGATGCATTCGCGCGTTCACATTTTTTTTTGAACTTTTCTTAACTTACATCCTCCACAAGGATAAGAGGGAGTCTAATAAAATGGAACAAATTCTAGCATGAACAGTAAGAATCGCACTTATGTAGTGTTATGACATTACCTAGTATTTTCGCCAATAATTTTGTAATTTCCATCGATCCACCATTTTTTCTCTCTTTCATCAGCTTTGTCGATAATGACTTCTTCCACATTAGCTTCGATGATTTCAATGCACTCCCGAAGTGCAAACTCATCCGCATCTTGATAATCTTGATCAGATAAAGAAGTCACTGAGCTTCTACGAGAACTTTGAGAAGAAACAGTAATAGTCTCGAATTCTGTTGTAAACATTTTTAGAGAATCAAAGGTATAGTAGATAGTTAACTAGCTATTATTGCTGATCTAAACGTGTTTTTATATATAATTAGTTCCTTTATTTGTTTTAACTGAAAAAAATGAGACAAGAGAAAGAAGGGAACTCGTGGTCATATAAATACTGGCCTATTATGACGAAATGTGGTGTGATCATCTGAAATATGAATGATCTGTACGACATATGAGTGAACGGATATTACTAGCTTCACCGAATGTAAACAATACAAACTTTCAGTGGGACTTCACTATAATTTATTTTTTAAACTGCATGTCTCGATTGTCTTATATACTGACGGCCATTTTATTTTAGCCATGATTGGACAAATGAAACAGTGTAGAAATACAATCAATTATTTTGCTTAATTTTTGTATAACTCCGAATAAAATTATGGTCAAAAAAATAATAGTAAATCGCAAAAGCATTTATTATTTGAGTTCTCAATAAGATCCAATTCTCGATGATTTGGAATGACTATGTTGGGATTCTTGTAACACCACATATCTTAAAACAATCAAATTCTTTTCGCAAAGTTCTTTTTTGATCTAATCACACACCTTACGTTAAGGAAAAGTTGGCCAGATTTAACGAACATTAATAACGGCATAACGGCTAGAGTTAATAGTTAATACCTATTTTAAAGGGGCGTCCTTAACGTACAGTGGGGATGTACAATTTTAACGTACAAACTGGCCTGAATTTAGGAGTTATGCACTTGCACGTGATAGCGTTAACGTTAATTCCGGCCAAAAAATTATATAAATACATTTTTATTCTAAGATAAATATGAAATATAATATTAATAATTAAAAAAAAAAGAACAAATAGTGTAGTACATCAATTGCTTTTGAAATTCTTCTTGTGAAAATACTTTATATGTTGCTCATGCTTAAATTTTATTGGTTTGATTAATGTTGATCATCGCGTGATAATAACATGAAAACTGAAAACCAGATTTCCTGTGATGACGTATGAAATCAGGGGTCACACTAAATTGAAAACAGCGATAAAACAAACCGTAAAACTACAATTATGGCTAAAGGGGTGAAAATATAATGAAAAGCACCAAGAATCAAAAAAGTATGCCCTTCTTTTTCTTTTTTTTTCCTTTGTTAGTTTTGGTTTTCTTATGGGTTTCCTCAATTTTCAGGGGTTTTTGATCTTCTTTAACTCCACGAATAATGCCATCTGGAAGAGAAAAGAAAGTTACGTAAAATCATGGTAAACACAACCAAGACTTGTATACATACAATACTCGACTTCAAAAATAGTCCCAGCTTCATCAACATTCCACGCCAATTCGCCAGTCCATGGCTTCGTTACTGCCTCATCTAAAGTATCTCCAAGTGGCCACAATACGCCAGTCATTGTATCTAATATAAAAAGACGACCATAGCAATTTAGGAAAATTATTCCATGCTCACGCACTCCAATGAGTATAATATGATTGAAACCATACTCTTGAACTTCATTAACATAATCTTCAAGATTTGATCCCGGTTTAATACAATTAAGATTTGATACTTCGCAAGGCCCATGGTTAATATAAGATGCAAAAAGATTATGTTCATATTCATTTGCAATCACTTCAATTACCATTGGTGAACTGTTGCAGCTCCTACAAGATTCATTTAGTCCGCCACCTTCTGCTGGCATTTTATGCATGGGTTCCAGACTTCCGCCTTTTCTAACGTGAAAGTGAGGGTATACAAATCGACATGATCCCCATTTAGCCCTGTAGTGCTTCCCAATGCACTAATTCTGCACAATTCCCCCAGGGCCATGTGCAAGCTTCTGATTCTTGTTGCATTAGGACAGTATTCACTCGTTTCATTATTTTCATATTTTTCACCCTCGATTCTACAACCATATCTTTCGTTTCCTTCAACATGGTTGATAGAGCACTGTATAAATTAGGTTGGTTAAAAAACGAATTTTTTTTCTCTCCCTAACTGTCTATATAAATTACCTCAACGGTTTTAGGAAATCCTTCACAAGTTGTCTTATCTATTTTTTGGGAGGGTTGTTCAGCCATGTAGAAAAACTTATTATTGGTGCAAAAACATGTAGTGGCACAACACTAGCAAATCGGTTGTTGGTGCTATTTACTTTCTTTTCCTAGAAATCATAAAAAATGTTGTTAAATGTTGTAAAATATTCTGTTAGTTTTTTACATTAAGAGGAGAGAAATATTTTGTTAATTAAGACGAGTTATTATACAGAAAAAAAATTTATAATTACAATCAAATAATTCGAATCAATTAACTTATCATGCAGTAAAAAAATTTGATGACATTAGTACGCTTTTTATAGGCAAGGCTTCTGAGCACAGAGTAAAAAAAATTTAATGGTTTCACTTGTTAAGTTCCGTAGCAGCCCGTTATAATGACATCTTGATAATCGAAATAAAAACTTGATAAATCACGAATTTTTCGTCTTTATAAAGTTCATGTGAATTTTACTCAAGATTATAAATAATTAATATATAATGACTGCGACACAAAATTCTGATCCGGTGTCTTTTATAACTAAAATAGTTCATGTGAAACTGAAACATCTAAAATGCACAGAAAATTTCTTTGACGACCAAATTAAACATTTATTTTGTTAAAAAATCCTATCCCCGATGTGGGAAAACTTTATTAATATGTTTTTCGAATAAGAAAATGAAAAACGGATGAGATATTACTACTAGGGATGTAAAATTACCGTATTTTATAAAATTTATTGTTATATTACGGTAATTTTCTATAAGTTACGTTACATTAGGCGACATAAAGTTAAAAAATTGGTTCTCATATCCCGGCCGGGTCACCAGAGCGGGAATCTTTAAATTATTATTTTTTTTTCGTTAACCAATCAAATTGGTCTAAACTATATCACATGATAAATTAAATTTGTACGCATATCTGATAAATCGTAACACTATCTGCAATGTAAATGCCTAACATTTAACGAATAATAAAAAAAAAAGAATTTAAAAAAAACTACAATTAAACATGAGAAATAAACTTGTAATTAACTTGATATGTAAAATCTATCTATGACTTTTATTGAATTAACTATATTAATATAAATGTACATATGAAATCTTCCGTATTACATGATCGGATGAAAAAAAAATTTATTCTAAAAAAAAATAAAAAGCCGTGCGGCCGGGTTAAATTAAAGCAAATTTTGATATGAGAACCAATTTTTTAACTTTATATCGCCTTATGTTATTGTAACATAAAATTTTTTTTTTATCAAAATCTGAAGAAACAATAAATCCCAATAAAAAAATGATATAAATATAAATACTGTAATTCTGAATGAACAAAAATGCGACAAAGATTGCAGGAATATGTTAAAACTTGTATGATAAGATCATAAAAAAAGTTGCAGTAGGTTGAATCCGAAACTGTAAAACATGATAATAAGCTACTTTTTATTTGTTAATGTTTGTTATAAATTATAAACTTGGCCAAGATTAAGGTAATACTGACTGAATTGGTAAACATATCAATACATATCAATGTAATGTTACATTCAGTCCGTGAAACTTACAGTGTAAGTTACGTAACGTAACGTAACGTAACTATTAGCATCCCTATATATGACTCATGGATTCGTAAAGTTACGCTCTAAAGTTCACATATATAGTGACATATGTAAGTTTGTGCGACAAACGGAATTTCCCGCTCCGAAAATTCATATAATAAATTTGATGTAACTTTTAGTAATTTCTGCATCCCTTTTCTTTCTTCTCCCTTTTCATTTAACATGGCATGTTCAAAATTTTTTTCAGGAGATTTGCCAGAATTATTAAACGAAGTCATACAATATTTTCATTATGATTATAAAACATTACATTCATGCATATTAGTTAATAGATTATGGTGTCGTCTAGCAATTCCATTATTATGGGAAGATCCATTTTCAATTAAATTACCTAAAAATCATCATTTTATTGAAATTTATTTGCATAATTTAAGTGATGATGATAAAACAAGATTAAATGAATATGTAATCCATAATAACTTATTTCCTAATACAAATACTTTTTTTAATTATCCTAAATTTATTCAACGTTTAAATACACATAATGTTTATTATTCTATTAAAAAGTGGGCATCTACAATTGAAGAGGAACATTCCAGCTATTCACCTTCACAAATACCAAATTTTACAAAACTTATTTTTAAGTCATTATTTCTTATATTCATTAAAAATGAAGTAAATTTGCATAGTTTTAAAGTTATGGTTGATTATGAAGAATTTGAATATTTTGATGCGGCTGTTGAATTAATTTTACAAAATCCGAATTTCGTTCATAATATTAAAAATTTAACACTTGAATTTGATGAAATAACTGATAATGTAAGAAAATTTTTAGGATTTCTCAGCTCTAATTGTAATTCGATTTCATCATTTTATTTTATATTTTCATTTAAATATCATGAATATCCAAAAATTGAAGAAAATTTATCACAAATGATTAAGTTTCAAGAAAATCTTAAAAAGATTTTATTTCATCATAGTATTCCCCCTTTATATCTATTATTATCATTAAAAAATTCTAATTGTTCAAACACATTAAATACAATTATATTTCGTAATACTAACTTTAAAAATATAAATTTTTTAAGTGAAGTATTTAATCAATTGAATGTTTTAGAATCAATTCATATTATTTATTGTTTATCTTTAGATTCTAAATTTATTCAACAAATTAATAATATTACAAAACCATTTAAATTAAAATCTTTATTTTTGTGTCAAATGGATGAATTATTATTAGAATCGTTAATACAAAAATCTGGAAATTATTTAGAAAATTTTGGAATTAACAACTGTGAAATCCGACAATTAATACAATCACTTAAATTATATTGTAACAATATTAAATTATTATATTTTTCTATGGGACCAAATAATCAGAATATTAATTTAATATTGGATTTAATTAAAAATATGAGACAAAAACTTAATTATCTTATGATTGATTCCTTTGATTTCACTAATATTAATAAAAATATTGAAATTAGTTCAATTATATTAAAAAATTTAGGACAAATTCTTCCTTTTAAATTAGAATATTTGAATTTATGTCTTACAATTAATGAAAGTGATTTAGAAATATTCTTAAAAAATTCCCAAAATACTTTTATCAAAAAATTGTTAATTAAAGTAAAGTATGACAAGAATTATGGAAGTCAAGATATTTTACCCTATATAAAAGAATATATAATGAAAAAGAAAAGAGTTAAATATTTAGCTATTTTAGAATCTTTTCAATTTCGTGGTGAAGATTTGTTTATTTTGAAAGATAAAGCAAAGGAATTTCAATTACATGATATTCAAGTTCTGAATTATCATGATTTGGTTATTAATATTTATGATTTTATAAATAAAACTTATTAGTTATTGAGATTAATTCAAATATTGAAATTTTACTCTTAAGAATTTAAAATTCGTTTCCTTTATTAAAATATAACAACTTGAAATTTTTTAATATTAAGAAATAAGCATAATTGTCCGAAGCGTATGCGTAGGACACTCTCCAAACCATACATGTGTTGTTGTCTGTCCGCACACGTGTATGACCAATAAAATCTTAGGGTCAGGTGTAACCTTAAATTTGTTTGCGTATATAACACTTTTTATTTATGTCCCCTGATTTAAAATTTCTTAAAAATTTTTATGCCCCACAGTCCCTGATTTAAAATTTCTTAATATTTCTTAAAAGTTTTTTACGCCATTCAAAAAATAAATAAATTTTTTAATTTCTTATAATTTTTACATGCTTTTTGTGGTTTTTAATTTGTATTTTTTTTTAAAAAAATAAAATTATAATAAAAATAAATAAAAAATAAAAAAATAAAACAATTGATTTCATAAATAACACTAAATTATTGATATCGTTGTGTTGTTGATTTCTTACATTTTATAGTTTATAGTTTAAATTTATGAGCATGTGATTTATGGCGCTTTGGATGCATCAACGGTTACCGTTTCCTAGTAATATTTAAAAAATTTATTTATAATTAGAAAATATATAATCAAAAGAGTCTTTTAATAAGATTAAGTTTTCAACTACCTAGTGTAACCACGAAAAACGTCCCGAAATGGCTGGATTAAATGTGACGCACATTTGATTTTTCCTACTAAAAAATTTCTTCCCTAGCTTATTTTAATAACGAAACATTAGTATAAGCATCTAATTTAATATACTGTACCATATTTGTCATTTCGAGAATATTATAATCAACTAAAAGTTTCTTGGCTCTTCCTTTCGAAACTATTCAAAAAATATTATTTAGTTTTTTGATTAAAATGGGTTTTTTTGACATTCAAAACCCTAATTCAATTTATAAACTTCCTTTGGGCATATATAAAATATATTATACAACAAGATCAATTTTTTTTAAAACATTTACAGTAAGGTTTAAGTTACAAAAGGTGAACGTCATGAAATAAATTTAATGACCTGGCTGAAATTTTCAGATGGGACATCCGAATTGACCTGTTCACCGTATTTTCTCTTTTAGTCAACATCTAATTTCCTATTTTATTTTTAATTTTTTTTTTCGGAAAATCAACATCTTAGAAATGTTTCAATTATTATGATCGATGTGGCAATCATTTTATTATCATCATTTTTTGTACAGTGATTTTCTTAAAAAAAATCTTAATCTTAAAATATTGTAAAACTTGTTACAAGCAACTAATTTTGAAAAGAATGTTAATGTAAAAAATAAAAATAGTACACCCTTAAATCATCATTATATTACTTTAATAAAATCCCATTTTCTTTTTTTTTTTAATTTGTTTTATCAAATAAATTTTTAGCGACATAATGATCTTAATCATAATTTAAATGATGACCTATTTATATTACGAAATCTAATAGTCACGAAATTAGCCAGTATTATGGACCGACATCAAGAATTAGTGAAAAAAATTCCTATTTATAACCTGTATGAGCATGTGATTCTGTGAACATGTGATTTTGTTACATAGTAGCTCCTTTTTCGCTATATATGGCGCAATCTTAATATTGATCCATTCGCAACTTTCGCGTATTGTAATTAAACGTCTACATTACTGAGAATATAAAATTGTATTTTTTTAAAAAATAAAAAAATTTGGTTTGTTTCTTTAGATGAATATTATTAAAAATATAAAAATGGCTATTATGATAATCTCACATTATTATGGAGCTAAATGTATTAAAAAACTAAAAATTTGCAGAAAATATGAATCCTCTATCTATGGTAAAAAAATTTGCCAACTTGGTATCTAGGAAATTGAATAATGAAACTCTTAAAGATATATTATCCGAATTATACTTACATCACCAAATGTGCAATAATATCATTTTATCTAATAAAATTTCAATTGAATTATTTGAAACAATTTTAATTAATACTATCAGAAAGCACTTTCTCTTCAAGAAAAAACAAAAATTTGTTGATAATATTTGAATTGTTCACTAAATTAGTTGATGCTGAAAATTTTTTAAAAAGTGATTAATATGGAAGAGTCATATAAATAACACTTATTACTGTATTTTACAATAATTATCATTGTAAATTATTTTGTTTATTTTTTTAAATGCAAATTAAATAAAATTTATTATTTAAATTATTATTTCATAATACCTTAATAAAATAATAATTTTAATTTGATTAATTGTTCTATTTTACTTATAATTAACATTTACAAAATTCATTGGTGGTAACATAGGAATAAAGATTAGGAAAGTTAATTTAGGCTGAATTATTTTTACCTATAATGTTGATGTTGGAGTTGCCTAGGATTATATGTTTAACCAACGAATGAAATAACCGAGTTCAACTATCTAGAGGTTGGAACCGGTTAAGCTTAACCGGTTAATTAACCGGTTAAAACGGTTAACCGGTTAAAACATTTGTTAACCGGTTAAAAAACAATTCTTAACCGGTTAAATTAACCGGTTAAAATGCTAAAAATATTTGTAATTCTGGCCATAATTCACAGTGCCGGCCAGAATTATAAATCACGGGACTTCGGATAAAAGTTTAGCCACCAGTTAAAAGGGCGTCCTTAACGTACAGTAGGGGTGTACAATATTAACGTACAAACTGGCCCGAGTTTAGGAGTTATGCACTTGCACGTGATAGAGTTAACGTTAACTCCGGCCAGTTCGTACATTAATATCGTACACCCACTGTACATTAAGGAATCCCCCAGTTAAAATACCAACGGACCAGGTGGTGGAATTTTTTGTGTTATATAAAATTCATAATGCGGGCCGAAATTCATAGTGCCGGCCAGACAATTTTGGTCTGAATTTCGTCTTTCAGCTAGAGTTTCGTTTCGATAGTTAGAGTTTTGGTCTGGCCTAATTTTGGCCGGGATTAAAAATATATTTGATACTAATCCTGGCCGAATTTTAATGCTGACTAGGATTGAGTTTTAACCGGTTAAAGGTTTGGTTAACCGGTTATTAACCGGTTAAGACTTTTTGGACCGGTTCCAACCTCTACAACTATCATAGCTACATTTAGTCACGGTCAAAATCACGTGAATTACATGTCTTAATGATTACGCTGGGGAAATAAAATTATTAATAAAATTATTGCATCAGATGTAGATTAATACTTTGACATACGTCACTTGTCACATAAAATTGAGTTATAATTAACCATTAAAAATTACCAGTCTTAATAAAATTTTATTATCAAAATGCATAATTCAAAATATCAAATTAACACTCCATTAAATGGTAAAATTAGTTACCAGTCTTACTAAAATTTTATTATCAACCAAATTTATCATAAAAAATGCATAATACAAAATAACAAGTAAAAATTACAAGATTTTTAAGTAAATTTTACAATAAACAATTTCACATTATAGTCAAGTACGTAAGTATTAAATTTTCATAATATGTGTAATATTGTTAAATTCTTTTGATCTATTAATAATTAAATTTAATTTCAAATCTTTGTCCATTGAGTTTATTACTTGTAAATGCAGTAATCTTATTTGGACCAAAAGATAATCCAAAGTTAATGCTTCTGTTGTCAAGATTTGCATCTAATAATAAAGATTTAATTGTATTAATTATCCATTTCCATTAAAAAAAATTATGGTTTCTAAAACTTACCAGGAAGATCAGCGTTTAATACTCCAAGTAATTCCATTCCTGGTTCATCAAAATATATTACAGATTCTTCGTTTACACAATAAACTTCAAATTTTGCATGTGTTTGACCTGATTCAGGTTTAAAATTAAAAGTGAAGGTCTGATCTGGTGAAACCTTAGTGCCTCGTTCGACCAAAGAAATAAATTTAGAAATTTTTCCATCAGAAGTCTTCCTACTATCTTCCTTCCAATTTGAGGCAAATTTAAAACCATAAGTATGTTTAAGAATAGTTGAAGTAATATTTTTATTTCCTAATTTATTTGAATTTATAAGTGATAGTCCATAATCCATCGCTCCACGTGAAATTGCAGTTGATGGATGTTCAGTAGTTGAAATAATTTTCACGGTATGACGGAATTCTTGTTTAATTCTTCTTTGCAAATATTTATTCTCACTGAAACCTCCAACTAAAAATATTGCTGAGCAAGTTTCTTTATTATTTGAAAGTTGGATGTGTATTAAACGAATAATTCTATCAATAACAGTATCAAACATTTTTTTTATGTCATTATATTTAATATCAATCAACCAGTTAATTTCTTCCATAATTTCTCTTGTTTTTTTACTGGCATTCTGCAGTAAAGATGGAAAACTTTCCTCAACATCTAGCGTATAATAAAATTCCTTATTATCTGCCGCAAAAGTCTTCTTTATATGTTGACAGATATTATAAATAATGAGCGGTCCTGATTGACAGAGAAAATCTGTTCTTGATAATATTAATAGTGGATCAATCCCATATTTTTCATGTAAAAATGTAATTAATTCTTTATCAATCAATATACTTCCACAGAAATCTCTAACGCGAGTGGTAATTTCGCTTAATTGTAATGGATTATTCTCAACCAACTTTTGAGTAATTTCGCTTAATTGTAATGGATTGTTTTCAACAAACTCGTGAGTAGTTATATCAATAGTACTTTCGCCGCAGTCGACGATAATAAATGGCTCTATAATATTTAAATGACAATTAATTAAATAATTCTTTTAAAGTAGTTTAAATAAATAATTACAATCTTACCTCCTGTAGATAAGTTATATTTCTGTAATTCATTTTTTATACAATAAATTGCTGCAGCCTCAGCTGTAATAAAAAGATAAAAAAATAAATAAAAAAAAATGAATTTGAATAATTATTAATTTTCTTTTTTTTTTTTTTTTTTTGAAACTTACATTCTGTAATAAATTGTATCTTTTCCGAAGATTTATTTCTAACGAGTTTTGCATCATGTACACGTTCTCTCATAATAGCTTCGTCTTTTTCTAAATACTCCATAGAAACAGTAAGAACCAATAATACATTTTCAAAGTATTTAATATTTGGATAACTTGCAATTGTATTTTTTATATCCTTAGAGATTTCAATTAAATAAGTAAATAATTTAATTAATATTAACGTTACGATAATTCAGATAAGACACATTACCTTTCCAATATTTCTAAGCGGATCATTGATATGTAGATAAGAATTTGATTGTGAATTACTATCCGATAAGTTACCCAAATGTAATTTATATAATTCAACAATTTTGAGATAATTACTAAATTGAGTATCGCAACATAACGTTTTATATGCATTTTGCTTATGGATTATATTGTTTTGCTTATACGAATAACTTTGGAATATTCCTATTCCTTGATTTCCAACATTATGAAAAGAGCGTGCGTAGGAAGATGATCCAAAATCCAACCCAACCACGACTTGAATATCGGAATAAATCCCGGATTTTTCTGTATCTTTTCCTAAACCTTAAAAATTGCATAAACAAAATTATTTTAATGTTTAATCAAATTGATAATTTTGAAATTCATTATTTACTTACTTAATGAGTATATAGAGGAATTATCACTATTTATATTATTATTATTTAAAGATAAGATTATTTGATTATTATTAATATTATGATTTTTTTGTTCATGATTATCTTTTTTGATTAAAGAAGGTTCGCATTTTTCTTTATGTACTTTATTATCATCAACTTTATTTAAATTTTTTATTCCTAAACTATTTCGAATATGTTTAGAAATTATTTCAAGTTGTTTTAATTGTTGTAATTCTTCACTTTTTTGATTTTCTAAATCTTTAATATTTTGTTCAAGTTTTTCATATTGATTTTCACTTTTTTGAAGTTTTTCAAGTTGCTTGTCTTTTTCTTGAAGTTTTTCTTTTAAAATTTGAATTTCTTTTTGAAGGTTTTGATTTTCACTTTTTTGAAGTTTTTCAAGTTGTTTGTCTCTTTCTTGAAGTTTTTCTTTTAAAGTTTGAATTTCTTGTTGAATGTTTTGATTTTTTTGTTTAAGATTTTGATTTTCTTCTACTAGATGAGCACATTGTTCTTTTAAATCATTAAAATCTTCTATAAGTCTTGCAATAACTTCTGCTGTTGTCATTATTATTTTCAACTTTTTTCTTCTTTTTCGTATAATTAGTCAATCAAAAAATAATTAATTAATCAAAATCACATACTGTACATGTAACTTTCTTTTATAACAAAAAATGATTAAGTATGAAAAATGAGTAACATTGTATACCAAACATCATGTGATTCTTTTCTAACCTTTTTAGGGCATCTAAAAAAAAATAATGAAATAAAAATGATGTAAAATTTTATTATGTAAGAAATAAATTGTTTTAAATAATATTGTTCATATTATTCATATTATTCGAAAAAAAAGTATTATGTAATTCCAATAATATATTACACATCCACTACATTATTAATACATGGGAAGAAACCCTTGCTTTTAATTGTTTAATGAACAAATATAAAAGATTTTTTTTTTTCTTTTCGAACTTTCACACTTTCACAGATTTCATTGTGATGTTAATTTTGTCGGCTCGGGCATAGATCGTATTGAATTATAAACGATAATAAAATATTGTTCCCATGATTCAATTGATTCATTGTGTATTAAAAGTAATGTAACCATGAATAAATTTATGTTTTGAAACCTGTTGTCATCTGCTATGAAATATTACAAAAAGTGACGGTTCGTGTGCATTTCTACAAAGAATTTGCTGAAGTTGTGATGACACATGTTATTATATTATTGAGTCAAGTTGGTGTAAAATATCAACATGAAGTCGTCATAGTTGAGTGCATGAGTAATTGAGTAATGTATTCTCATTATGGAAAATACCATCATTTTGTGATGCTGAAAAATTTTATATCGCTATATAATTCCATTTAATTGGTATAGAACAAATTAATTTAGGGTTATTGTCAACCTAACCTGTTTATTATAAATAAAAATAAATTTTTAACATATAACATGTGCACAATATTTGTATTTTAAACGTCGCTTCTTGTCATACTTTCATGAGGCTAAAGATGACATTAGATTATTCTTTCAATAAATTCGTGTATAACGAATGAATAACGTGTCATGATTTTACAATGTTTATGACGAAAAGATACTTAATTTTCGCCTAAATCAATATACGGTATTAAGTATTTTTATAATTTGAATAAATTTATTAAAATTATTTAATTACAAACTAAGAATTTTGTAAAACATTTACTACTCTAGTCTTAGTGTTTAAATAATCCAAGATAAATAAATGATAATAATTTAAAATATAAAAAAAAATATTGTGTATATATATATATATGATTTGATTTATCACAAGTCAATTTTAAAATCCATCTAAAGATAAAAAAAATAACAAATTATAAATTAATTATTTGCTTTATTAAGAAATTTATTTTTTAAAAAACTTACCATCAGGAATTTCCAGTTCATCTTGTTCTTTTGAATGAAGATTTGGATTATTATATACTTCATCATCATCCGTAAGAGATACTGCAAGTAAATAGAATTAAAATAGGTTAAAATTGTTAATTGTTTGATATTACGTAAAATTTTCACCTACCATCGACATGTTGTTGAGTTATTTCTTTTTCATCATCTAAATTTTAAATAAAAGTCGTGTTTAATAAATGAAATTGTTATAGCAATTTTATTTGTTAGTAATTTACTTACTATCTGAGTTTATTTGCAACTTTTTAAATAATTTAGATAATTTTTTACAACTATCTAAAAATTAAGATATAGAATTAATATATAAATCAATCTCGATTTGATAATAATTAAAATATATTACCTCTAAAAATAGTAATTACTTTTGATGATTTGTTACTATTCTGCTCATTTGATTTATTAAAATCGTCAACTAAAATAAAAAATCAATTATTAAACATCATTATATGATAATTCAATGCTGTAATGTTAATATATACTTACTATTGTTAGGAATGTTAAAATCATACAATTTACTATGAAACACTATTATTGGATAAATTAAAGTATTTTAAAAACTAAATTATTATAATAATCAAAAAATGGTAGAAATTATTATTTATATGGTTATACCTTCTTGTTCTTCTATTATAATAAAAAAGATAACATTAATATTGTAATTTAAAATAAATACACTTCATTAATAAAATATTATACACTTATACCTTCTGTTGCATTTTTTGGTTCAGGTAGATTTCCAAAGTTGTGAATTTTACTTGTAAATGAACTGCTACTCGTATAATTTTCTTCTACTTTATTCATTTCTAAATTATCCATTTCCGATTTGAGTAATTCATCTGACATATTTTGATAATATAAACTAATTTTTTGTATTTTATTACAAAGTGTATTAACGTCAGGTCTTTTTAATGGATCAGCATCCCAACATTCTTTCATTAAATTTTTATATTCTAATGGAGTTCCTGGCACAATTTTTGGCCTTATACCGTTAATAATATTCATTGCAATATCATTTTCATGTTCATAATTTATAAATGGTGTTTGTCCAGATGAAATTTCCCACATAAGAATTGCAATACTATAAATATCAGATGCAAAAGTATATTCTCTTCCAACAATAACTTCGGGTGCTATGTAAGGTAGATTTCCATATATACTTGTTGAAGATTTATCAGCAGGTCCACAAAATCCAAGATCACCAATATACCAGTAATCATTATATTGTGAATATAATATATTTCCAGAATGTAAATCTCTATGCACTGCTTTCTCTTCATGAATATAATAAAGTGCAAGAGTTATTAAATCAATAATTTTCATTCTATCTTTCCATGTAAGTTGATTATGTTTTTGTTGTAAATATTTTCTTAAATCTATGTCCATTTTCGCCATTACAAGCATATAATTTCCATTTGATGGATTTTGCGTTAAACCATAACATCGAACAACATCTGCCCATTTATTACTTATAGTTAAATGTGATTTAGCCTAATAGACAATAAATTGTAAAAATACTAGCATTAATACAAAAATTGCACTAATTTTATAAAATATAGAATATAATTATACAAACCTCTTCAAACCAACTTTGATTTGCACTTTCAACATTTTCTAATTTTTTAAGCACTGTACTATAATTTTTATATCTCGTTAATTGTTTTTTCTCAGAATCCCATTCATAATACGCTCCACCAATCCAATTTGCTGTATAAATTTCAGAAAATCCACCTTTTGTTAAATATTTAATATTTTTTAAATTACTATATGGGATCCATTCAACTATATTCTCTGGTCCAAGTGATTCCATTTGACATTTCTGTATTAAATTATCAATAACATCATTTTCAGATGTCCAATTTGAAAAATCTTCTTTTAAATAATTTTGAACACAATATTCACAATATAATGTAGCTAAACATTCTAGGTTACAATTTTCACAAATTCTTCTTGCACCATCATTATCTATAACTTTATCTCGATCATAACTTTTAGTTATTATTCTTATTGCATAAGTTTTTTCATCATTTGTAAGAATTTTATCAGCAAGGACTGTTTGTTTGTAAAATTCAAATTGTTTGTGTATATCATTGTGAATACTAATATCACATAATGTAAATGCCCTAGTATTTGTTGCATTAATTAATTCATATCGAAGAGTGGACATAATGTAATCAATAAGAAAGAATGAATAAATGAATTATTTTAAGTTCGTTCATTTGAACTCCGTGATAAATTAGTAAAATGCAAAGTTGATCAAACTTCATGTTGTGTCCACATAAATTTTGTGTAGTATTTTACGCCAGTTTTATGTTTCATAACAAAAAAAGTAACTAGTTTTTTTTTATATTTAGTATGATAATTTAAAAATTAATAAATTACTTATTTAATTTTTATTTTTATTTTTATATATATATTTTTTTTTCAGCGAATACGATTTATATTTAACAAATTTGATTGTCATATTAAATGAATAGATATGTATCCTTGATTATATTGATTAATATTAAATAAATTGATAAACAAAAATTAATGATTGTTATTATAGATTATTAATTTACTTAAAAATCAATATATAAACATGATTGATAAAAAGTCAATTTTCTTTAGTTATTTTCAATTGAATTTATTTTTAATAAACAACGTGGTGAATAATGAACATTCAATTTATTATTTCTACTAAAAAAATAATAACTAAGCAAAGAATTTCTGTAGAATTATAATTACTTTTTTTAAAGAATCGCAAATATAGGTTTGGAATAAAATATATGGTTTTAATAAAAAGATATGTCATGGGTTTTCATGTTACACGATTCAAATTATTTATATGGAGACTATTCTAAACTTCTTTCGTGTCACGCGAACGATTTCGCGCGCAGCATCTATTTTCGTTAATGATCAGCAACTTCTAGTTCTAGACTTCTAGCCAATCAAATTCAGAGCTTGTTTGTCAGACAGAATTTTAATCGGCTAGAGATTGATCAAATTATGGAAATAATTTTACGCAGGGAGGTGGGGTTGCACTACCCAGCGTAACCTGAAAAAAATGTCACGAAATGGCCGGCATTACGCAACTACATGGTACGGATAGTGCTAAACAAATTTCTTAGTCCCCCAGATACTTATGAAAAATGGAAACCAGGAAGGGTGTGACGGCCGTGATGCCGGTGATGAAAATATCACGTGATTTTTCGTGACATCAGTTACGCTGAGAAAATCGGGTTGCCCATTGCCCCCATTCACCCCAGTCGCGCCATCCCATTATTATATGGTGAATTTGCCGATCGTTAATCACGTGATATCATAAATTTCGTTTAACTTACCTAGAAAAAATGGTAGCCGGATAGGTTTGCTGGTTACACGTGATTCGGAAACTGATTTCCGGTTACATTAATTACAAATTGATTATAAATCAATTTTTTACCTTTTTACTTTTTCATCAATATCTCGTCAGACACGTCACTATAAACCCTTTTCTTATTTTTCTAATTTCACTAATGTCAAACCAAGAAAATAGAACTTGTAAAGGATGTCATGTTCGTCAAAGCAATGAAAATTTTCTAAATGATAAAGGTGTTGCTTTAAAAAAATGTTTGCACTGCCGAGATAAACTTAAAATTGCTCGTTTAAAAAAAATGCTGAACAATCTGACGCAATAATTAATTATTCAGATATTACTGAAACTATATACAACCATTTAATTTCTCTAAATGATACTAATGAACTTTATTTCAGAAAAAGATGAGTCAAATAAAGAAAACCTTGAAATTGAAGTTAACAATCATGTAATAACACTTATTTCGGAAGGTGATGGCTATTCATGGGTTTATCGGAATAAAAATCAAAAAAAAGACTCTCTTCATATATTATATTATTGCAATTGTCGAATTGAGCTTGGAAAATGGCAAGTAAAGCATCCTATATTAGATAAACAAAGAGACACATCTACCTATTTAGAACTGTACCATTGTGAGGGAACAATAAATATAGAGATCTTATCAAAACTGGACTTAATCAAAGTTAAATATTCTCATAAAATGTTACATCCACGACTAAGGCATGTTAATACTACGTATGAAATTAAAAGATTTATCCAGGATAATCTTAATTGTCCTGTTTCAGAAATTTGGCGCCAAATTCGAGAAAATCAAATTATTGGACATGAAAACATAACAGTTCAACAGACCTATTATTGGTGGTCTATTCAATCTCGTAAGGCATACTGCTGTGACACCAATCCTTTATTATCAGCAAAATGTTTGCTAGAAGAGTTTAACCAAGAAATTATAGTAAATAATCTTAATACTTCTGCGCCCGCTCTTGGATTTTTAACAGAATTGTTTTACAAATTGATTTACTATAATTTTGAAGCAATTGAAATCGATGCAACTTATGGTACCAATAATTTGGCATGGGAATTATATGCTATTATGGGTGTTATAGATGGTACTGGATTTCCTCTTAGCTATCTTATAATTTCAGTTGGAAAAAATCGAAATATAACAGGGATTCTTACTCAGTGGATGCAAGCTTTAAAAGAACGAAACCTGAGAAACTTTCCTTTTATTTTAACTGATAAAGATTTCTCAGAAATCAATGCAGCACAAACAGTATGGCCTGAAGCACGTTTACAATTATGTGTTTGGCATTTAAGACGGGCTATTAAGCAACGTTTATCATCTAATAAAATTGGTACATATTATTCTTATAATCCAAAAGTTGCACATGAAGAATGTTCATCAATTGATCCTAGTTGGGGAATTTTTAATAATTCAAATTTGGTATTTTGCCCTTTAAAGTTACGAAAAACTGTAATTAGCATCGTTGAAAATCATTCAAATCGTCATATGTTGTTACTGAAACATGATGGCACCTTTATTACAAATGCAGACGAAATTTGGAAAGAGTGTGTTAAAGAAATGATAGAATTTTGTAAAGAAAATGAATTACTTCAATTATGGGTTTACTTGTGGAGAGAATGGTATTCAAAAGAAAAGTGGAATTTATGGGCAAGAGCGGCTAATAAAAACATTAGCCATATTAAAACTACAATGATTGTCACATTGGCGACATATTAAACATGATCACTTATACAAATTTCACAAGCCCAGAGTTGATCATTTATGTTTTATTCTTGTTAAAAAAGTAATCAGCCAACAATTATATCGAATTCAATTATTTCAACAAGGTCGCCATTCAGTACCATGGCGGAAAGAGTTTAAAAAAGAATGGAAGCAACATGAAAAAAAAACTACACAATTAAATGGCAAATATTTTACAGATTCAACAAAATGGATATGTGCATGTCCTGCATATATTCAAAGCCGTTTTTTTTTTGTGTAAACATCTAGTTAATTCTGTTCAAAAAGTTGATGCAATATTCTTCAAAAAAGTAAGTGACAATTTGACGGCCTGAATGAAAAATTATTTCTTGGGATATTGAAAATCAAGAATGGAAAGGGTTCCCATATATAAAAAACCAGTCCAATCCTTCAGTTAATGGATATTTAGCTTGGGTTAAAAAGCAAAAGAATCCACTCTATCAATTAAAATATGAACAAGATAAAAATTAATTTGCATTTATTTTTGTATTTGTTAAATAATTTATCATTTTTCATTTAATTTATTTTATACCAAAGAAAAATTATTTCGTTGAATTTTTATCATCATTATTAAACATTACAGAAACAGGTTAAATAGCGGCTTTGTAGCCACTACACATCTACTATATATATATTAAAAAGTAGTAGGTGTACCGCTATTTTATAGTAAATATAGTGTAGTGATGCAGTACTTCCATAGTTAGTATATAGAAAATTAGTATAAATGTAAATTTACCATAATGTAAACATATAGTAGCGATGTAACAAATTAACATAAATGTATGGTAATTATAAGTTCTAATAAAAGTAATTGTGCAGTAAATACAACTTTTATTTGTAGTAATTATGTAGTAAAATATAGTACATTTGCAGTAAGTATAGTACATTTGTGGTAAACATATAGTACATTTATGGTAAATATATAGTACATTTGCATTAAATATATACTCAATTGTAGCAATTAAATAATTTTATCCTCAAATATAAGTAGTTCCGAGCGATAGCTCTTCCAATAAATCACATGATGTGTTTTTACGACATACCAAAAAAATTATGAATTAAACACTGACAACATTAAGCAAACCTTCAAGGATAAATTGCGCTTCAATCCTTTATGTTTCGAATTTTCAAATCGAAAATCGAAACTTACCATATCAGCATATCCAAGTCCCAAAGTCGAAAACCGATATCTACAAAAAAAAGAGAGAAATTAATGTCCTAAAAAATAAAAGAAAAAGAACGGTTAGTACTGTTCATATAATAAAAAAATAAAAAAAAAACTCCAAAAAATTCGTACTTACGAATCTTTGAAGTTTCTGTATTTCGGAAGCCCACCAGAGAGCCGAACCTATAAAAAAAAAGAATAAAAACGGTTAGTACC